TGATCCGTCGCTAAATATATCCCTCGCTGATCCGTCGCTGAAAGTGTTCGTCGCAAATCCGTCGCTGATTTCCGTCGTTGATCCGTCGCTGATAGCATTACCTACGACTGTTTGACCGACGGAGTATCAGCGACGGATCAGCGACGGAAACCCCTTTCAGCGACGGATCAGCGAGGGAATTTTCCCTCGCTGATACCCAACATTTTTGTAGTGATTGCAGGTGGGTATTTCAAACCATCATCTCTACCTGTGTGTTTAGATGGAGATCTGAAGGCCAAAAATAAAAACATTTTTAATGAAAATTTAGATTGGAAAATGCAGAAAAACCACAAGTTAACTCAATATAAAACATTGGTAAAGTGAGCAAATGAATTTTATTTGTTTCAAAATAAGTGTTACATTACTATTTTAGTTTAGCATAAAGTAAGATTCTTTTCAAACTAAGGAGCCGTTTACTAAACGCTTAACCAGTAAGTATTTACTGGGTAATTTTCTTTACCAGATGAACATGGCAAGGGCAAAAATCTTATCTGGTAAGAGCGATGATAAGAATGGAGAGTCTTACCCGGTAAGTGAGGGTTACAACTCTTACCCGCGTAAGCGCTTACCAGGTAAATTGTTGCGTAAGATACGTTTTGATGTACTACAATCTTACCCTATAAAATAAATTGCGCTTACCGGATAAGCATTTATATAAACAGCTCCTAAATGTCTACTTTCACATTCCCTTAATTATGACATGAATACAATTTCTCCTACTAAAATTAAGAGTACAATTGCCTTATTATTAGCTAAAAGTGTAATGATTTTATATCATAAAATTGCATTCTTTTAAGGAAAAATTGCATGAAAAAGTAACGTACTTTAACTTGATTCTTATTATGGGTAATGTACTTTTAAAACTTCCATTTTGCTACCTAAGTTGTAAAGTTTTAAACATTTAAGTATCCGGGTAACCGGTTAAAGCATTAACCAGTTACCATGCTGATATGACGAGTGATGTAGTATCCAGTTCAGTATTATTTGTTGTTCAACCCAATTTCATCACGTCACTCACCACATCAGCATGGTAACTGGTTAATGCTTCAACCGGTTACTCGGGTACTTAAATATTTAAAACTTTACATCTTAGAAACCAAAATGAAAGTCTTACAAGTACGTTACCTAAAATAGAAATCAAGTTAAAATACGTTACTTTTTAATGCAATTTGCCCTTCTTTTAATTATTTACTAAAAATACTTATTATATTTGATATGTTACTAAAAATTGTAACTCGTGTAATAAGAAGAAAAAAAGTTGAAGTTAAAAAAATTCAAATTTTAAATAGGAATAAAAAAAATTGAAGTTAAAATCTAAAATAAAATTATGAATAGAAGTTGACGTTCTTTGAAATTCTTGCCATGCAACTGACACACACGAGTGCCCTAAAGAAACCCTCCTTTATTAAAAAAAAAAGAAAACCAAAAAAATTACCATTTTGCCCTTTTGTAGTTTAGTTACTTTTCATATAACTATTAAAAAACTGATTATTTTTTAATTTATTTATTAAAAAATAAGGAATATTTTTGTATTATTTTTAAATCAAGACGCCAAAAATTCTTTACATCTGGCTTTTGATTATCAAATTAATTAATTTTTTAACTTAAAAAAAACACATGAATTTTATTTCAGTTATCGTTGGATTCAATCAGAATGATAAATAGAGATATTCATTATTGAATCAATCTTAATTAAAAAGAGGAAAAATCATCAAAAATAACCATTTTATATAATCCACTATAACAAAATAACCACTTTCTAGAGGTTTTGCCAAACTAACCATCCAAATCGCCCCCAAGGACGATCCACCCCCGGGGACGAGCCACATCATCCTATCGCCCCCCAGGGACAGTTCGGCCCTAAGTATATATTTTTTTATTATTATTTTCTTTTTTCTAATACTAATTTCACTATAAATACCTACCTCCTACTTCATAATTTTTCACACCTCCTCTATCATTTCTCTTCTCATTTATACTACTCTCACAACCCTTAACCCTTCAATACCATCACAATCTTTAACCCATTAAACACAATCAACCATCACAAAACATGAAATCACGTCAAAGTGATGATGTTTGTGTGTATCTTCGAAGTGGCGGTTTATTACAAGATATAAATGGTGTTGTAGAGTACCTTCCGATAACCTTCCCCACATATTCATCAAATTAAATGGACGGCTGAGATTGAGTTGTATTGGTTGTACAAATCGACGTCATATAGGTGTCATAATATGAAAAAACGTGAAACGCGGTCAAGCTACGTAAATTAGATATAATGTCTGATTTTTTCTCCAAAAATCAACTAAAAATAATTTTTTCGTTACCACAATTATCATTGTCTTATTTTATAACGAAAAACCATGAAATATTAAATTAAATATGTTAAAAAACACAGTTTATGTATTGTTTCATTTTTATTAAAAACACCCCTTAATTGTCAAATCAAAAACACAAAATGACGAAATAGAGGTCAAATTTCGTAAATCAGATATAATATCTGATTTACGAAACCCAAATCAGATAAAAATAATTTTTGCGTCTCCATAATTATCATGGTTTATTTGTAAACCTTTACCCATGAAATTTGGTTAAAAAAAGTTAAAAAATACAATTTACATGGCGTATCAGTTTTATTAAAAATACCGCAAAAAATTGAAAAACCAACCAATTTTAGGCTGGATCGCCCCCAAGGGGAGGGATGCTGATGTGGCTCGCCCTTGGGGGGCGATCGGGGTGACGTGAGACCCATCAACAAATTTTTTTTTCTTATGAATAGTACGGATTGCCCTCGGGAGGCGATCCGTGTGGCTATTTTTGCAATGTCTCTAGAAAGTGGTTATTTTGTTATAGTGGGTTGTATAAAATGGTTATTTTGGTGATTTTCCCTTAAAAAGAACCAATGAATCAATTCTCTTTAAAGTGCAATTCATGAGTTGTTTTGGAATTAAAATTTGTTGGGTCACCTATTGATTTGGTGATCACTCACTGATCTGTTCCTCTACACTAGCAACACTTAGTAGTTATTGGTTCTTTGTATATTGGTGTCTTGGTGCATACTTAAGCCATTGGCAAAATCGAAGACTAGCCGATATAAAGACAGAAGGTCACCGATGCGGTGTTGTGGATCAATTGTCTATTATACACACCAAGACTCCAAAGTAGCTGAATTGAATAGTGAAAATATTTTGAAGCTACAAGCCGATTGAAAGGAGATCTTCATAGACCGAAGATTGACAATCTTCATAGACTCAAGATTGAAGATCATGGACCGAAGATTGAAAATCTTYATGRACTCAAGATTGAAGATCATGGACCGAAGATTGAAAATCTTCATGGACCGAAGATTGAAAATCTTCATGGACCGAAGATTTGTGAGTAGCTGCTTGAAGCTATATATCCATCCAAAGGAGATCTTCTTACAGACTGACCATATCTCTGTAAAAGTTTGTCTCTGCATGAACATTATTGTATGCACGCTGTGTACGATGAAAATGAGATATCAACAATGGTCAAGTCAACCCCTGCCTTCTTATCCTCAGGTGACAAGTGTCTCCATGCGTTAAATGCTGAAGGTAGTATAAAAAGGCAGTGTGCATCTCCCATGCAAAAAAACTGGCTTTTGCAAGATTACTTAGTGCATTCTCAAAGCAATCGGCTATTCTCTTCTTCTCCCTTGCTCTCTTGTGTGCGAAGAAATTCTTAGTGTTCTTTATTTCCTTTCAAGAACTCTTTGTGTTGTTCTTGAAAGTTCTTCTCCTTGTAAGATTGTTTAGGTTAGGTTTTCCTTTCCTATCTTCTGCAACAATCTTTTGTATTTCTGTGTGTATTAATTGTTGATATAAATCAATAAGAATTAAAAAGTTGAAAAAAGTCTGTGTAATTGTATTCAACCCCCCTTCTACAATTACTTTCTGTTGATTGCCATCCCCTTCGGGACTAACAAGTGGTATCAGAGCAGTTAGCTTAATCTCATAAGCTAGACCTGCAATGGATTCTTCTACTTCCAACTCTGCTCCTTCTTCTTACCAAGACAATGACACTATTGCCAAGCCTCCCAAGTTTAACAAAAACAATTTTTCTATGTGGAAAAGTCGCATGACACTCTACCTTGAGGGTGTTGATAGTCAATATCTCTCTATCCTTAAGGATGGACCCATTCTTCCTAAAGTATGGCTTCGTCATGGAAAGAACAAAGACGAAGGTAAGTCTTCAAATGATTCTAATGATGATGAAGAGAAATCTGATTCTACTGGAATGTTCATCATCAAAGATCCTTTTCAGTACAATGAAGACGATAAAAGAAAAGTTTCCTTGGATACCAAGGTAAGGGCTATCATTGCCCTCTCTCTTCCTGATGATGTCTTCCACTCCCTGGTAAACCTCTCTACTGCCAAGGACATGTGGAACACTATATTTGTTCTGTATGAAGGAACCATCGAAGTAAAGAAAAGCAAGAAGATTGACCTCGTTAGGCAATATGAGCTCTTTGTGCATGGGAAAGGTGAATCTCTCACTGAGTACTACAACAGGTTTAATAGCCTTCTCAATGATCTGAAGTTTCATGGCAGAGTCTATGAAAATGAAGAAGTCTTGTGTAAGTTCATGGACTGTTTACTAGACTTCTGGGAAAACATCTGTACTTGTATCAAGACAAGTAAATATCTTGAAAATATGCCTCTTATTGCTCTTTATGGAACTCTCCATAATTATGAGCAAACCAAGCTTCTCAAAAAGACATTATTAAAGGATCCCAAAACTTCTTCTCCTGTTGCCCTTCTCTGCAATGATACGAGGAAGCCAGTCAGTGAACCTCGTATCACTTATCTGACTGACACTGAAGATGTTGCTGTCATAAAAGAAGAACTTGCTGAAAGCCATGCTGATGATGCTGATGATGAGGGTGATGAACCCTCAGTTAATGACTTGGCTGACAACATGGCCATGATGGCTACCAACTTCAAAAGGTATGCCAAAAAGGGCTCTTCTACCTTCTCTCCCAAATCTAAGGTCACCGACCGAAGAACCTTAGATCAATCTAAGTCGGCTCCTCTTGATCTGTCCAATGAGGAGTGCTTCAACTGTAGTAAGAAAGGTCACTTTGCTGCTGAGTGCAAAAGCAAAATGATCTCTAAGCGTCATCCTTCTCATCCCTCTAGCCGATCCTCTCATGATAAGTACAAGGCAAAATACAAGAGAGAAAAGGCAAAGAACCTGAGCCTTCAGAGAAAAGGTAAGGGTCTCATCGCTGAGACTCATGACTGGATTGATGAGTCAACCTCTTCCTCCAATGATAAGGACATGGCACATATGTGTCTTATGGCCAACATCCAGGAGATAGAAGACTCTGTCAAGAACTCCTCCTCTACTGCTGCTGCTGATCTACCTTCTACCTCCAAGGATGCCAAAGACCTGGTCAAACCAAAGAAAGTAAAGAACTTGTCCTCTCTCTCTGAATCTGAAAAGGTTCAAGCTTATGATTCTTTATCTGTTGATCTTTACAATGCTAGATCTGCTAAGAGAAAGCTGACCTTGAAATCAAAAGTCTAACTAGTCAGTTACATAAATGCACGAATCAACTGAAAGACTTTGATAAATTGAAAAATGATCTTAAAGAACAAAAGTTAATAAACAATGTTCTTAATAAAGAAAAAACTAAGGTTTTTGAGAAGCTGGAGAAAGAAAAAGCCATTCTTCAAGAATGGGCTAGATCATCCAAGAACCTAGATAAAATTTTACATGATCAACTTCCTATTGAAGTAAAGACTGGCCTAGGTTATGATGATATGGATCTGTGTGCTCCTGATGACTCTATGTGCATATCTTCTCACATTCTTTCTTCCTCCTCTCCATCTCACTTATCTGATTCTGTTGGATCTCCTTCTCCAAGATCTAATGACAATGGAATATCTCTTAAGTTCGGAATTTTTGTCAAAGCTAACAATCCAAACTCTGAATCTGAGATTGTTCCTGTCGACTGTGTGTTTAACTCTCTCTCTTAAGAAATCTTCTGATGCATGTTCTTCTAAATCTAAAACATCTAAGCATCTAAAGCATCCTTTGAATCGTCGTGTCTCTGCTGCTGAGAAAGGCAAGTCTGTGGACAAGCCTATCAAGAATAAGAAGCCAAAATCCAAACTGAAGATGAAACATAAGCCTTCGGCTACCTCATCTCAGTCAGCTGTTGCTTCTCAGACTGGTACCTYAGTACCTTCTATTACTGAGTTCGTTCCTAGATCAGTTTTCTTGAAAAAGACTTCCAAGATTTCTACCTCTTCTAAGAAACCTATCCTTGAGTCTGAAAAAGGGATTCTTGGTCCAAAACCCTCTGCATCCTCTATCCCTCCTTCCAAAGCTTATTCTTCTCTCAAAAAAAATCCAAAAAGCATGTTAACACAGTTAAGCACACACCTTTAATTCTTATTAAACCTGTGTTTATTTATCAAAAATGTTATAACTGTGGTGACACTGTTCACATGGTCAAGAACTGTCCCAAGGAAAGAATCTCTAGGCCAGTAAGAGAAGAGAAAGAAGAAGATACTCCTAACCCCACTGGACCCATTGTAAAATGGGTACCTAAAAACTGATTTATCTGTGTTTGCAGGGCTTAGGAAACCGACATATATGGTACTTGGACAGTGGATGTTCAAGACACATGACTGGAAACAAGTCCCTGTTGATCAACTATGTGTCTGAACCTGGTCCTTCTGTAACCTTTGGAGATAATGCCAGAGGTACTACTAGAGGATATGGTGTTCTTTCTAACGACTCGGTTACCTTCAACCGAGTAGCTTATGTGGATGGACTGAAGCACAATCTGTTAAGCATCAGTCAACTATGTGATCTCAACTTTATTGTAAAATTTGAAGAAAACCAGTGTACTATTCTTGACTCTTCTGGCAAGAAGGTATTAACTGGTGTCCGAAAGGATAATGTCTATGTGATCAACATGGACTCTTCTAGCTCTTCTGATGCCAACATTTGTTTCTACTATGAGTCTACTGCTGATCAAAATTGGCTATGGCATAAAAGGTTGTCCCATCTCAACTTCAAAACTATCAACAATCTTTCTAGTAAAGATTTGGTTATTGGACTTCCAAAAATGTCATATGTCAAAGTGAAGCTGTGTGCTGCTTGTGAAAAAGGCAAGCAAACCAAAGCAAGTTTCAAGTCCAAGATATGCTCTTCTATTTCTGCTCCTTTGCACATGATCCACATGGATCTCTGTGGTCCTGTGAGTGTTCAAAGTTTGGGTGGAAATGTTATACTCTTGTTATTGTGGATGAGTACTCAAGATATACTTGGGTCTTCTTTCTTCAACACAAGAGTGATACAGCTGAAGAAATTATCAACTTTGTGAAGCGGACTGAAGTCTTGAATGGTCAACTTGTCAGATCAATTCGAAGTGACAACGACACTGAATTCAAAAACAGTGTTCTTGAAAGCTTCTTTGATGACAAGGGTATTTCTCAAAATTTCTCAGCAGTGCGGACTCCACAGTATAATGGAGTTGTTGAAAGGAGAAATCGTACACTATGTGAAGCTGCACGTTCAATGCTAAGTGAAGCAAGTCTTCCGACCTATTTTTGGGCTGAAGCTGTCAATACAGCTTGCTTTACTCAAAATAGGTCTATAATTGTGAAAAGACACAATAAAACTGCTTATGAAGTATTTCATGGTAGAAAACCAAACATCAGCTTCCTTCATGTGTTTGGTAGTGCATGCTATATTCTGAATGACAGAGATTAGTTAGGAAAGTTTGATCTTAAATCTGATGAAGGAATCTTTGTTGGTTACTCTCTTTTCTATAAAGCCTACCGGGTGTACAACATGCGTCGTCAGTGCATTGATGAATCTATCAATGTCAGATTTGATGAATCTAGATCGGTGCCTGCAACATCATCATTCCAAAGTGATGATCTTGAGCTAAACAAGTGGTTGGAATCTCATTCTTCTGAGAATTCAACTCCAGTCGATGGACCTCCACACTCTAATGGAGATGATGTTCCACCTGTTGAGGAAGATGAGAATGAAGATCTTTCATTCAACATGAATATACCATCGGTCTGTCCTGAACAAGAACCAGCCNATGGAGATGATGTTCCACCTGTTGAGGAAGATGAGAATGAAGATCTTTCATTCAACATGAATATACCATCGGTCTGTCCTGAACAAGAACCAGCCAATCTGGCACCTCTCTCTTGTGTGGAACCCTCAACTGTTGTCGATATTCCTATTTCTTCTACTAGGGACATCGGTGACCCAACCTCAGTAGTTGTCTATTCCAATCCTCTGACGAATGCTGATGGTGCCTCTACCTCTCTTCCTCTTCCTCTTCCTCTTCCTCTTCCTCCTACCACTAAGTGGACCAGAGATCACCCAATAGAGCAAATCATTGGTGATCAGCAAGCAGGTGTCCAAACATGTCGTGGTGCTGGTAATATCTGTTTGTATGTCAATTTTCTCTCTCTCATCGAGCCTAAAAGGATTGAAGAAGATCTTGATGATCCTAGCTGGATCAGTGCCATGCAAGAAGAATTGCTTCAGTTCGAGCATAACAAAGTTTGGAGACTGGTCCCCCGACCAACCAACAAAACAATTATTGGCACAAAGTGGATCTTCAGAAATAAAATGGATGAGAACGAAACGGTGACCCGAAACAAGGCCCGACTCGTTGCCCAAGGATACAGTCAAGAGGAAGGCATTGATTATGATGAGACATTTGCTCCAGTAGCAAGGTTGGAAGCAATCCGAATCTTCCTTGCCTATGCTGCATTCAAGAACTTCAAAGTTTTCCAGATGGATGTCAAAAGTGCCTTCTTGAATGGRAAACTTACTGAAGAAGTCTATGTGAAGCAACCTCCAAGCTTTGAGGATCATAAACATCCAGGGTATGTCTATAAATTAGACAAAGCTTTGTATGGTCTCAAACAGGCTCCTCGTGCATGGTATGACACTCTCTCTACTTTTCTTTTGGARAACGGCTTCTCCTGTGGTAAAATTGACAATACCCTCTTTCTCAGGAAACATAAAGGTAATGTTATTCTTGTACAAATTTATGTGGATGATATCATATTCGGTGCCACAAAAGAATCTATGTGTARAAAGTTTTCAAAAYTCATGCAAAGTAAATATGAAATGAGTATGATGGGTGAACTCACATTTTTCTTGGGTTTGCAAGTCAAGCAATCYGACAAARRAATCTTTATAAATCAAAGCAAATATGTTAAAGATCTTTTAAAGAAATTTGATTTTAATGAGTGTTCTTCCATGAAAACCCCTTTGGCACCCCCCTTGAAATTGAATGCAGACCCCGGTGGCAAATCGGTAAATGTGACCGGTTATAGGGGAATGATCGGCTCCTTACTTTATCTTACTATTAGCCGACCAGATATTATGTTCTCCATATGTCTTTGTGCAAGATACCAAGCGAATCCAAAGGAATCTCACTTGGCAGCCGTTAAGCGCATTTTCAGGTACCTGAAGGGTACTCCCAATCTGGGTCTTTGGTATCCCAAAGGCTCAGGTTTTGATCTAACAGGTTTTTCAGATTCTGATTATGCAGGTTGTAAAGTTGACGAAAAGAGTACAACTGGTAGCTGTCAGTTGTTGGGTGGAAAGTTAGTCAGTTGGACTAGTAAGAAACAACACTCCGTGTCCACCTCAACAGCTGAAGCTGAGTATGTTGCTGCAGGTTGCTGTTGTGCACAAATCTTGTGGATGAAACATCACTTAGCTGATTACGATTAGTTGTTCACAGAAATTCCTATTTTCTGTGACAATTCAAGGGCCATTGCTATTGCCAACAATCCAGTTCTTCACTCTCGTACGAAGCATATTGATATTTGGTATCACTTTATCAGAGATCATGTGATGAAAGGTGATGTTGAACTTCATTTTATCCCCACAGACTATCAACTTGCTAACTTATTTACCAAGCCTCTTGATGAAGCTCGGTTTAATTTTTTGATCAGTGAGTTGGGAATGTTAAATGTTGACAAATAATTTTTTTTGGGTCTTCACTAATTCTTTTGGGTTGTGTGTCTTCTCTAAAAATGTTGTGTGTCATTTGTTCAAAAATAGTCTGGTATCTGTGTGAGTATGTTTTTTCTATTTCTAAAATATTGATTTTTTTAAAAAAATGATGGGTTTTACGCTCGTATATTTTTCTTGAAAATCATTTTCTATTTTTCTCTCTAAAATGTCTCTGTGTGATTTCTTTTTATATCGTTTTAAGAAAAATATATTATTAGTAATTTTAAATTTTATTTTATGTTTAAAAAAAATATATTTTATTTTATGCTTGTGTGTAGTGGTTTCATTTTTGTGAATATTATCCTAAGCTTTTGTTAACAATTGGTGTGTGGGCCTCTTCACTTTACTTTGGGCCAAACCTCAATCAAGCCGATTCCTCTATTCCCTAAACCCCTCAAACCGACCTCTCGATCCCTCTCTATCTCTCTCCTTCGGCCTCCAAACCCCACAAGCCGAATACACAAGCCTATTCCCCTTTTCCAAGCCGATTCTATCCTATCGACCCCCACCCCTTC